AGACTTTCTTCTAATACACAACTCACAACAGAACCTTAGTTCTCACAGATATTCACACAGAATATCACCATCAGAGATTAAAACTCTCACACTTTACGGTTTAAAATCAAAGATTTTACAGAGAAGAAAAACCAGACGAAGAACCCTAAGTTTTCTCTCAAAAGTCACCCACTGAAGAGTCTCTCGAATCATCCAAAGAAAACGATGAGGGTAAGTTAAGAGTCATCCAGAAGTTTCAGCCAACCGCCTAGATCTGTCCACGTGTCACCATCTCAGCAATTTGAATGTTATAAAACGTTACAACAGAAACACGCTTTTGTTAATTCTTTCCTTTTCTTTTCTGGTAGCACACCACCAGGGTTCGAATCCTACAGAAATAAATAAAATATACATGGAGAAAGCAAGAACAACAAAATTCTTAGCTTCCTTGATTGTTAAGAAAATCATGGTAGAATTTTCAATTAAAGAATCAGAAGATTTATCTGAATTGGCAAGAATTAGAGATGAAGCTTTAAGCATTCTTGTTCATCTCTAATTATCCGAATCCAGCCTTAAGTCCCTCTTCAGGAACAATGGTGATCAATTCATCGAGTCCTTAACGCATATAATTCAGCATGGGAGCTATGAATCTCAAGCTTATGCTGTTATGCTACTGAAATCCATGTTTGAAGTAGCTGATGATCCAACAGAGCTAACCATCTTAAAACCCGAATTCTTCATCGAATTAGTCCAAATCTAGAAGGATAAGATTTCTGAAAAAGCCTCAAAATCCTCTCTGAAAATTCTTACCATTGTCTGTCCATGGGGAAGAAACAAGATCAAAGCGGTGGAAACAGGAGCAGTTTCTTCGTTAATTGACCTTTTACTTGACACTTCAAACAAAAGGGCTTGTGAAATGATGCTAACGGTGTTGGATTTTCTATGCCAACGCGCAGAAGGAAGAGCAAATTATTAAAGCACAGTGCAGGATTGGCCATTGTGTCGAAGAAAATACTTAGGGTTTCACAAGTTGCAAGTGAAAGGGGAGTTAGAATTTTACATTCTATTTCGAAATTCTCTGCAACTCATCGAGTTCTTCAAGAAATGTTGCAGATTGGTGCAGTGACAAAGTTGTCTCTCGTGCTTCAAGTTAATTGTGGAGCCAAAACAATGAAGACAGCTGGAGCCATACTTAAACTGCATGCAAGATCATGGAAGAGCTCACCATGTGTGCCCATGGAGTTGTTTGATTCTTATCCATCTAGATTTAGTGATGGAATTAGGGGATAGATAGAAACTAGTTGTGTACACAACTGGATTTAGTTAAGAATACATATACAGTAGAAAGTAACACATGGCTGAGAAACTTGACCATATATAGAAACTTTTTGGAAATAATTCTTCCATCTTTAAGTTTTTGGATATTGAAAAAATTGGTAGAGGAAAGTGATTTTAATCCATTTTGAGATTCACTTCTTGCAGTTAAGGATTTTGTTTCTGTATTTAGTGCTTTACGATATACCATTTACTGTGTAGATGTT